CGAAACTTGAGTATTGTTCGTCGAAGGTTTGTGTATTTGAGTTACCGCTATACACAAATCGAAGTCGTTGTATCTTGGAGGCGTTAGCCGTAAACCGTGGGTAATATACGGGGCTATTTCGTCTTAAGGAGAGCGTACCTTACGTGCCTCGACTTTGTTCGTTTCGTCATTTTCCTTCTGATTTCTTAAGCCATTTTTTATATTCATATACCACACTAATAACTATCTTAAGACGAAAATATTTGTGAGTTCATAAGATGGCAACCGGAGGAAATCAAACGTCTTCTTCAAGTGCTCAACCGATGGTAGCTGCTCCCGTCCAAGGCGAGAGACCGTCGAAGTTCAATGGATCTGATTTCAAGAGGTGGCAACAAAAGATGTTGTTCTACCTCACAACTCTCTCCCTCTCTCGTTTTCTTTCGGAGGACCCTTTGATCGTCCCCGAAAGTGAGACCAACGTGCAAAAGCGTAGGGCCTCAGATGCTTGGCATCACAATGATTTCTTGTGTAGAAATTATATCCACAAAGGAGCACCAAGAAGTTCAAAGGGAATTGCTACAATTGTGGTAAATCTGGGCATCTTACGAAAGATTGCCGTCTCCCGAAGAAAGGTAAAGATAGCGCATATAGCCGAGGATAAATCTGTTCCCATTGACTTATCTGAGCTCAATCTTACCGCCGTGGTCCAAGAAGTTAACTTGGTTAATAATCCACGGGAATGGTGGGTCGATACGGGAGCAACTCGGCATATTTGTGCGGATAGAGATATGTTCTCGTCTTATACCCCAACCGATGAAAGTAAGACTAACAACCAAAAACGTATGGTCTTGGATGTTTAGCATCATAGTGATTTCTTGTGTAGAAATCTAATACTTAACGGAATGAAAAAAACATTATATAATGTGTATAGCCCGGTTAGGACGTCTAAGGAGTTATGGAACTCTTTGAAAGCAACGTACAACATGAAAGATATTGACACTAAAACTTTAATCGGTAAATTCTTTTAGTAAGATATAATTGACACAAAGTTGGAGGTTAATCAAGTTCAAGAGATTCAAATCCTTCATGATATGATGGTAGAGGGATATTGTGAATGTAGCCTTTTAAGTGAAGGTTATTGTTGAAAAGTTGTCTCCTTTGTGGAATGACTGCAAGAGTTATCTCATGGATAAACTCAAAGATATGACACTTGAAATTGAAAAGTTGTGTCCTTTGTGGAACGACTTCAAGAGCTATCTCATGGATAAAAGCAAAGGGATGAAACTTTAGGATTTCATAGTTCGTCTTCAGATAGAAGAAGATAATCGAAAATCTAAAGTTTCGGTCAAATGGAGCGAGATAGAGGCTAAAGCAAACTTGAACGAGCCGATAGTGTGAATTGTCGAGGACAAGATAATACTTGTCAGAGCTCGATCTTTCCGTCGTGGTTCAAGTACATACTTGATTAAAATTCCACATTTATAGCGGATAAGAACAAGAGCCACTTGACCCATATGCGTTTATAAATGTTGTCCTACAACCCTAATATGGAAGGAAGTATTTGTGGAATTCCTCGACTTCAAGTGTTGAAGGAGACGACAAGGTAGTGTGCTAAGAATTAATATTGGAGATCATGGATGTTCTTATGCCCAAGACATCCATAAGAATCTAGTTTTCGGACCATTAATTGAGTAAGGCCGAATTTAGATTAGTTTGTGATTATCGACAAAGATGTTATGTCGAAATATGATGTAGTAGCCTTAATAAAGGTCATCTTACAATTATTGTAACAATTGTAAACTATTGGTTGACGAAAAGATAAATAAGTTGGTCTTATTTATTGAGTGTTCTAATTTATGGCATGATAAATTAGTACTTGTGTATTTTAACACTAGAAGTTGGTGAATCTAGAATTGATTCATACAACAAATATGAAAATCGTGTTCAAATGAAAAATGACAAAAGCATCATATTAAGTGGCTGCTTAATTGACTAGTCCTCTCGAGATAAGTCACACCGGTAAATGTGATTTAAGAGTTTGTGCAAACTCGATTCGAAAATAAGAATGCACAATGTATTGTCATAAAGCTTTTGTAGCTTTAAGCCACATATGAATGATGTTGATATTCAATGAAATAGTCGAAAGAAATATTCACTCTTTAGTAGGTGATAATTCTTGTTGGTAAGCTTGAATTTAAGCTAAATGCTTATGTGAGAAGTAGTTATTTCGACTAAATTGTAAACACCACACGAAGGTAGATACGAAACTCTATTTGAGTTATAAAAAGAGCAAAAGCATTCGTACCTATACCTTAAAATGTGGGGGTGTTCGGGCATGGAAAGCACCACACGTAAGTAGATACGAAACTCCATTTGAGTTATAAAAAGAGCAAAAGCATTCGTACCTATACCTAGAAATGTGGGGGTGTTTGAGCCAAGGTAGAAATACCTAATTAATGACATGAAAAGTTTGTTGAAACAATTTGTTGAATGGTTCAAATTCATTGAATGACAATATGGGTCTATGAAGGTTCTTCCGACTCTTTGTGATCGTAAGTCTTATGTAGGCATTATGATGATCTTGGAATATAATCATGATGTGTTCATAAATACCAAGAAGATAAACTTTGACTTTTAAAATTTGTGAAATTTTGATGTAATTTTGGAGATTAAGTTTCTAATAGATCGGAAGTAATTGTTTGACACAATCTCATCATGTCAAATGTATGTTGAAGAGGATCGATGTGTTCGATAAAACCTTAAGCTAAAGTGAATGTATAATTGACTCTACACTTAGCTAATAATTCGAGAGTAATTAGTTTCTTGTAAAAAGTTTGTTGAATGATTGGTGGCTTGAGGTACTTGTCAGATAGTACTCGCCCCAGTTTCACATTTTAGTGAGAAAACTAAGATGTTCACGAGTAACTCGAGCGATCAATTTTGATCATGCTGAATAGAGTATTAGACATGAAAAACTCTAAGACAAAAAGTGACTACGTGTTCACTTTAGATGGGTAGAGTTGTGTCATGAAAATTATCTAAGTATAAAGCTAGATCCACAATAATGTCCGAATTTATAAATTTGGACTAAAGGCGTGGAAGAAGCTAATGACTTAGAAATTTTATAAAAGATATTCCTAGGTGGAATAAATTGTGCTCATGGAGATGATTATTTATCAATCAACAATTGGAAGAGCACAAAGTAGTTTGTACAATAGTAAGTCTAGACATAGATGTCGGAGACTTAATTTCAATAAGAAAATTATCTCATATGGAGGTTATATCGGTTGACTATGTGTAGTCAAAGATTAACCTAACAGATCCGTTTACATAAAGCATGAAACGAGATAAATTGTACAAACTGGTTAGGGGAATGAGCTTAATAAAAATCCACAACAAACGAACGGTCTTAGCGGTAACCCAACCATGAGAATCGGAGATCCCAAAACCTTGGTTCAATAGGAAAACTAAGTTTTGACAGTTCAGTGAAACACTTGAAAATTTTTGCTCATTTCTAGAACCGTCAAGTGTTAAAATCTGCCTAAGTGGTGAGGCTAAGTCAAGGACTTTTAATGATTCCTATACCTATGGGTGGAGTAAGGCAGGATACTATTTATAGGAGAATCACCTTTGTAAGTGAGAAGTAAATAGGCCGCTTCAACGAACACTTACTAAACCGAGATATGGTCCAAGGCCGAAATGGACACAACGTGAGAACAAGAAATTGTTAGAGCTGTTGTTGTGTGAGTACTATTGTCTTGGTGCACACAAACAACTGGTAAGTTCAAAGCATCGCGCTACTAACCGGCTAGTGTATCCGATAGTATTTCACTAAGGAAGATTCAAAGCCACAAGCTATCTATCCTGATGCAATGATGGTTCGCCGGAACTCTCAAGTGTTGTATACATGCATTAATTTCATTCATGTGGGGGATTGTAAGAAAAATTGGTTTTGTACCGATTTAACGATTCTATTTTTCGTAAGTAGAAGACTTAAGAAATTCTCAAAACATTTTAAAGAATGAAGCATCCAATTCAAATTCCATTGACAACGGTCTGACCATTCCCATAAGGTGAATGAGAAATTAATTCTAAGTGTTATATGTTAATTAATTGAGTTTAAATAACTCAAAGATTGTAGGGTTCACAAACATTATGTTTTGACAAATGTTTGGACAAACTAAACGAGCCATAATTATGTATTATATATGCTAGTATTGTATAAGGGCTCGTAGGGGACAAGTAGGAAAAAACGGAACTCGATTCCGAGTCCGTATGAGCTCGTACGAGCCCGTGGCGCACAGGCGCGCAACTGGCTGCGGAAATCAAAGGGTTGCAACCTTTGGTGACCATAAGGTATCTTTTGGCCACTAGATGCATCCGTTCTCGTACGGGCACGTCCCAAAAGGTGTCTTTTGACACTTAAACCTCTTGGATGTGTTTTCCTACATCTATAAATACCCACAAACATGAAATCATTTAGGACATGAAATTTTCCAAGAGTCTTTGCATCCTTTTTACAAAGTTCATATTCATCTTGTGTTCTTTGTGTTCTTTCTTATCTTGAGAGTTCTGAAACTTGAGTTTTGTTCGTCGAAGGTTTGTGTATTTGAGTTACCGCTATACACAAATCGAAGTCGTTGTATCTTGGAGGCGTTAGCCGTGAACCGTGGGTAATATACGGGGCTATTTCGTCTTAAGGAGAGCGTACCTTACAAGCCTCGACTTTGTTCGTTTCTTCATTTTCCTTCTGATTTCTTAAGCCATTTTTGATATTCACATACCACACTAATAACAAGGCCAATGTCAACTTCCCCTCGGGACCTCCCAAGCTACCGCTGGTCGGTAACCTTCACCTCTTCAACCCTCACGACCCTCCCCACTTTGCCCTGGCCGAACTCGCTAAAAAATATGGGACGCTGATGCACCTCCGACTGGGCGAGGTGGACAACATCATCGTCTCATCTGCTGACATGGCAAAAGAGATCCTCTAAACACACGACGTTAGCTTCGCGTCCAGGCCTTCATTAATATCGTCTGAGATCGGGTGCTATGGGAACACGGACCTTGCTTTCGCTCCCTATGGTGACTATTGGAAAATGATACGTAGGATCTGTACAAAAGAGCTCCTGAGCGCGCCACGTGTCCTGTCAATTCGCCCGATTCGTCAGGAGGAGTGCCTCGATGTGTGCCGCTGGTTCGCCCAGCACGAGGGCAAGATGGTCAACGTGACAGAGAAAATCGGGACTATGAGCTACGACATAATGGTCAAGGCCGTGCTCGGGGAGAAGATCAATGAGAAGGCCGCCTTTATTAATGTCGTCAAGGAAGGTATGTATGCTTATGTATATATTACACACATAGGCATGCAAAATGTAACAGTGTAATTAATTTTGACATTCTATTGATAGGCATGCAGAACGTAACAGTATTCAACATCGCTGATGTGTATCCTTCAATGAAATCCTTATTTCATCTGGTGAGCCGGATGAGAAGGAAAATTGAAAAGCATCACAACCTAATGGACAGAATACTTGGTAACATTCCCCTGGATCGTAAAAGACGCCCCAATAATAATAGCAACATTAGCAATGGTGGAAAGAATACCGAAGATCTGCTTGATGTGCTGTTGAGATTCCAGCGCAGCGAGTCTCTAGAAGTTCCCATCACTGATGACAACATTAAGGTTGTTCTAATGGTATATATAAATATGTTGTAGCTAGCTAGCTAGGTTATTTTCTCTTCGTAACTTGATTTAATTTAAAGTGTTTGATTGTGAAAAAAAAAAGGATATGTTTGGTGCGGGTATCGACACGTCAACCTCAGTGGTGGATTGGGCATTAGCTGAACTCTTCCTCAACCCTAAAGTTATGGAAAATTTGCAAGAGGAGGTGAGACGAGTTTTCGATGCAAAAGGTGGAGTGGTGGATGAGTCCTACTTTGATGAACTAAAGTACTTGAAAGCGGTAGTGAAGGAGACCCTACGTATGCACCTGACAGCCCCACTCCTTCTCCCTCGCGAGTGTAGGGAAAGTTGCGAGATATACGGTTATGATATACCTGCGGGGACGCGTGTGCTGGTGAATGCGTGGGCAATGGGGAGAGACCCAAAGTATTGGGAGGATGCAGAGAGGTTCATGCCAGAGTGGTTCGCAATGGAGTTCAAATTGGGGAATAGCTTTGAGTATATCCCATTTGGTGGGGGCAGGAGGAGCTGCCCTGGGGTCACGTACGAGCCTACCACCATTGAGTTACAATTGGCGATGCTAGTCTACTATTTTGATTGGAGCCTCCTGCCAGGTCAGGACATTGACATGACAGAGTTGATTGGATTGGCGTCACGAAGGAAGCACGACATTGTTGCTATTCCCATTGTGCGCAGGCCTCTGCCCCTTTAATTAATGTATTTAATTTTCACTTTATGAATCATATATCTACCTAATAATCTGGCCTGGCTATATGTAAAACCAGCAGCAGTATCCCTATAGAATAAATATTGTATCACTTCTACCTATATGTAGTAATATTAATGCACTCCCAATTGACTCAAAACAGAATGTGTTGTTATAACTCCAATGAATATTTTCATTTTTGTCGACTAATAAGTCCAAATATGATACACTCATAGATCTGTTTGCTTCATCGAACTCATTTCACTTATATGTGGAGTTCAACAAGATTGCAGAGATTAGTGGTTTGTTTCGAGTAATTAGGGTCCTTAAACATCCTAACCATGCTCTATAATGGGTTCGACGAAGAATGTCATTAATGATGTGTAAGTTTAAATATCTACGAAAATAGTTCTAAGCGCGGCGAACATGGGCGGAGCTACCCCAAATGCTGGGTACGTAGGGCTCCAACTCGGTCTTAATTTTCCGCCTTTATTAATTTTATACTGGTAAAAAAAATATTTTAGCTCATGTTTCATTAGATTAGTCCAATATTAATCTTATTTTGACCCAAAATAATTTAAGTTTGTTTTACATTAAATCAATGAAGTATACATTTGAACATAAATTAAGTTTCTTTCCACTTTTCTTTTTATTATGCCACTTTTATGTCATTTTTGTGTTTATATTTTATACTATTTAATTAAATAGATTTTATTTGAATAGATTTTAATTAAATAGATCTTATTTGAATAGATTTTAATTAAATAGATTTTATTTAATTAAATAGATTTTATTTGAATATTTTTATTGAAGAAAATATTTGATTGAGTTAGACTTTCATTACAATACTTAGTATGTAACTGAATTTATAGATTTCACAGTCAAGTTTATATATTCAGTGAATTTTTAAATAAATGGTAGTTGATTATATTAAATTTTCACATATCTACTTTAAATGGCATGACATATAACAAGAATGACATGACTATTACACCGTTTTATAGTAGTTCTTTTAATAAATTATGTTGTTTTCTTAATCAAAATTCAAGTACATGAGAAAATTTATCTTTGTACATTTTTAAAGAAAAAAATAACTAAACAATTAAAAATAATTTTGTTTTTTCTATGTATAAGAGAGTAGTTAGAACAATAGGGCTTAATTGCAAATAAAACTATGACATTTTCAAAAATTGCAATTATATGCATCACTTTTAAATTTAGCAAATATATACACCACTTTTACAATTTTTTGCAATTGTATGCATCGGGCCCAATTTCGGGCATTTATTGCTGACGTGGAGATTTTCTGCTGGCATGGCAATTTCCCGCTGACATGTCGGCTGATATGGCGCTGACATGGGGATAAAATTAAGCTTAATTACAAATAAAACCATGACTTTTTCAAAACTTGCAATTATATGCATCACTTTTAAACTTGACAAATATATAAAAACATGACCTTTTCAAAAAACAAAACAAGGCTATGATTCAAACCTGTGCCCTTGTGGTTTTAAATTAGAACCATTACCACTACAGCAATACAACTTGTATGTCTAATTTCATAGCGTTTAATATATATAGACATATCGTATAGACAACCAACTTAAAATTAAATGATAATATAATTTTATTTAATTATATTAATAAGATATAAAGTTATAATATTTAAAATATAATTAATAAATAATACATATTATTTGAAAAAATTAAAATAAAATAAAGTAAGATAAAATTTATCATACTAGAGTACATTAAAATTAAACTAAATTTTTATTTATTAAAATAAAATAAGAAATAAGATAATATAAGATAATAAAGTATAAAAAATAGTAAAGTAAAATGAAATAAATAAAATAATAAATCAAATAACTTATTATAAAATAATAAATTAAAATTAATAAAAATCATAAATGAATATAATAAATAAAAAAAATCATTATATTATTTTTTAATAAATAATTTAATAAAATATTTATTACAATAATCTTGAATAATTTAATAAATTATTTATTATAACAATCTCAAATTATATAGTTTTATTTTATTAGATTCATTTATTAAATTACATGAGTTTATTTTAATAAATATTTTACTAAATTTTTTGATATTATTTTTAAAAATTATTTATTAATATTATATTAAAAATATTATAATGAAATAATATTTTAAATTTTATTATTTTTATTTACAATTTTTATTTATTTTAATATATTATTTAATAATAAGTTATTTGATTTATTTTATTATTTATTTTATTTTAATTTACCATTTTTTATACTTTATTTAATAATATTATATTATTTTTATTTTATTTTAACTGGTGTACTTTAATCTAGATTATTTTTTAATTTAATTTTATCATTATTATTTTTGATTTTCAACTTATAAAACTAGTTTTATTTTAATAAAATAAGAAATATATAAATATATTTAAATGCAATTTAATTTTAAATCACTCTACTGTAATAAATTTTATCTTTCTTTATTTTAATTTATTTTTTTCATTTAATATATACAATTTATTTTATTAAATTTTAATTATTATAAATTTATATATTATTAATATTATTAAATATAATTTACATTATCTTTTAAATTTTATTTGCTTATAATTATGTTATGTCTATATATATTAAATGCTATTGAATTAGACATACAAGTTGTATTGGTGTAGTGGTACTGGTGCCAATTTAAAACCATAAGGGCATAGGTTCAAATTCCAGCCTTGTTTTATTTTTCGAAAAGGTCATGATTTTATATATTTGCCAAGTTCAAAAGTGATGCATATAATTGCAATTTTCGAAAAGGTCATCGTTTTATTTGCAATTAAGCCTATTTTTTATCCCCATGTCGGCGCCATATCAGCAGTCATGTCTTCACGTCGGCAATAAAAGTCCGAAATTGGGCTCGATGTATACAATTGAAAAAAATTGTAAAAGTGGTGTATATATTTGCCAAGTTAAAAGTGATGCATGTAATTGCAATTTTCGAAAGGTCATGGTTTTATTTACAATTAAGCCAAAAAATAAAAACTCACAAGTTTTTGTTAAAGGAGAGTCATCTCCATATTTAGCACGACTAGTTAGAAAGTAAAATAAATTTTATTTTATAAATGCAAAATTCACATTTGGATATTATTTATTGTGTGATTCATGTAATTTATATTAAATTAAAAAATTATTTTGATACTTTGTTCTTTTTTATACATAGGTTTATCTAGATTTTTCGAATCGGGTATTTCAAATCCGAACTTGTACTCATTTAGTAAACGAGTTGTCGTAGCTCAACTCGTTTAATAAAGAAATAAAAATTTTAGCTTGGGTTCGACTCGTGTAAACTCAGTTCAAGTAATTTAATAAACTTTAAAGCCTAGACCAAAACCCAAAACTCTAACCGAATTATTTGTGAACACACTCGACTCGACTTGTTTGATACACAAGCTCGATTAATTGCTCGAGTTTGGCTCGTTTATATATATAAGCAAGTCAAGATCAAACTTTTAGAAGTCCAATCTATTATGATATATTCTATACAGTTGTAAAATCTGTTATACAACAAATAGGTTAGCTTTGTTAGTAAGCAAGTGAGTTAGTTAGGAAATTAATCATGCATGTGATATGCACGTGCTTTGCATGTGTTGTGCATGTGGCTTGTATAAATACACAACTCATCATCATCAAGTGTTAATGAGAAGATTACAATTCATTTCCTTTCCCTTTGTTCTCAACATGGTATCAAGAGCCAAATTCCCCTTCCTCTGTTTTTTTTTTCAATCGGCCATCACCATGGTTGAATTAACGAATTTTCCTTCGTTACCTCATCTCACTCCCTTGCCTCTTCGTCTTGATCGATCAAATTTTACGTACAGGAAAGCTCAAATCCTCTCAATTGTTCGTGCACATGGATTTGAAGATTTTCTTCTCGGCGATTCTTCAGCTCCGGCAAAGTTTTTGTCTCTCGGTGATGATTCATCGGCTCCGGTGTTAAATCCGGCATTCACGCTATGGATGCGCACCGATCAACTTCTCCTCAGTTGGATGCTTGCCTCCATCACTGAATCCATGCTTGGTCACATCACCCACTGCTCAACATCAGCTCAGGTTTGGTCGGTACTTTCTCAGTTGTTTCATACTCAGTCCAAGGCTCGTATTCTTCATCTCAAGTTTCAACTTCACTGATGATGAGCTTTCCATGTATATTCTCGGCGGTCTCGGATCTGATTATGAGGCTGTTGTTGTCAATATCTTTTCTCGTCTGGATTCAATATCCCTGTCTGAAGTTCAATTTTCCTTGCAAGCTCATGAAATGAGGCTTTCCAGTCAATCTGTCCCTTCTCCTGTAGCGTTTCAGCTGCTTCTAACCCTAATTTGGCTGATTTTTCCCCTTGTGCACATTTTGTCACTAACAGAGGTGGATTTCCAAATAGAGGTTTCTACAGGGGCCGCGGTCGACAATCTTGTGGTCGTGGTGGTCTATTCTATAAGAATAGTGACCGTATTGTCTGTCAATTGTGTGGTAAGGCTAACCATGTGGCTTTAAAATGCTTCAAGCGCTTTGATATAAGCTTCACAGGTCAAGACAGTGGGTCCTCTTCCTCACCTCAAGCTCACTTAAGTGATTCTGGCACCTCTTTCATTGGTTCTGTCCCTTCATGCTCCTCTGATTCCAGCTGGTACTTTGACAGTGGAGCCACAACTCACCTCACTCCAAATCTTGAAAATCTCTCACTTCATGCAGCTCCTTATCAAGGCAAGCATATGGTCACAGTTGGCAATGGATCTCAGTTACCTATTTCTCATGTTGGACTTTCATCCTTTCATGATGATTCTGCTTATCCTGTACTTCTCAACAACATACTTTGTGTTCCTCACATTACTAAGAACCTGCTCAGTATATCTCAACTAACCAAAGACAATAACATTGTGATTGAGTTTCACTCTGACTTTTGTCTCGTGAAGGACAAGATAACACATCAAGTGCTGCTGGAAGGATAACTTAAGGATGGTCTTTATCAATTGGATTTATCAAAGAATGCTGCTCTTCTCCACTCCACTGGTCTATCTACTTCCTCTACAAGTAATTCCAGCTATGCTGTTGCTATTTGTAAAAAACTGATATTCTTACTTGGCATAGGAAGCTTGGGCATCCATGTCACAATGTTTTCAGAACAGTTATGAACTCTTTGAAGTTGTCTGTACCTTCTTCATTACCTTTTTGTGATGCATGTAAGTTGGGTAAACTACATCAAAAGAACTTTGCTTCTCAGCCAACTAAGACTTCTATGCCATTTGAGCTTGTACATACTGATGTGTGGGGACCTTCTCATATACTTTCTGTTGATGGTTACAAGTTCTATCTGTACTTTATTGATGACTTTACTCGGTTTACATGGATTTTTCCTCTCAAATCAGAGTCTGAAGTTGCTGGTGTGTTTCAGTCCTTTAATCAATTTGTTACTACTCAGTTTAACACCACCATTAAGTGTCTACGATCAGACTGGGGTGGTGAGTACAGGTCTTTGGTACCTTTGCTCAATAAACTTGGCATTGTTTTTAGACATCCATGTCCACATACACATCAACAGAATGGAAAAGCTGAGAGAAAACACCTTCATATTGTGGAAATGGGCTTGTCTCTTTTTGCCCAGGCCAACATGCCTCTTAAGTTTTGGTGGGATTCCTTCTCTATTGCAGTCTACATAATAAACAGGCTTCCTTCAGTGGTTTTGTCTCATCAATCTCACTTTAAAATGTTATTTCACTCCTTACCAGATTTACAGATTCTAAAACCTTTTAGATGTGCTTGTTTTTCCTATTTGAGGTCATATAACAATCACAAATTTATGTTCAGAACCTCTAAATGTCTTTTTTTGGGATATAGTCCTTATCACAAAGGCTATAAATGTCTTAGATCTGATGGCATGCTTTTTATAGCCATTACTGTTTCTTTTAATGAAAATGAGTTTCCTTAACTCTCTTTATTTGCTTCACCTACTTCTTCTACACCCTTGGCCTCTCATTCTCCTTTCTTTAATCCTCTCTCTTCTTTCAATCCCACTCCTTTGGACATTGCTCCTATTTCAAACTCTTCTCCTTCAACTTTACCTCCTCCACCAGTGTTTTCTTCTTCTCCCTTAAATAATACTCAAACTGTCTCATCTCATTCCTCTTCTTCTTCTCCTTTACATTCCACTTCTACCTCTTTTCCTGTCATTCCTTTTGAGGTTCATCTTCCTTTTTCCTCATCTTCTTCACCTTCTAATTCTCCTAGTTCCTCTTCTGCTCAGTTACCCTTAATTTCTACTTCAACATCATCCTCTCATCCTATGGTGACTAGGTCAAAGGCTGGCATATTTAAGCCTAAGACCTTCTCAGCTCAACTTTCTCCTTTATCCATTTTAGAACCTTCCTCTGTGACTGAGGCTCTTTATAAACCAGAGTGGTATGCTGCTATGTAGGCTGAATTTCAAGCTTTAGTTGCTAACAAGACATGGTCCTTGGTTGGTCCTCTTCCTGACATGAAGGTTATAACTAATAAATGGGTTTTCAGAACTAAGTATAAGCTTGATGGTTCAGTTGACAAGTTCAAAGCCAGACTTGTAGCTAGGGGTTTCTAACAGACTGTAGGAGTTGATTTTTTGGAGACATTCAGTCCAGTGCTTAAGGCCTCTACTATTAGGCTTGTCTTCACACTTACTGCCACCTACTCATGGTCAATACAGCAGATTGATATCAATAATGAATTTCTAAATGGAGATCTTACTGAAACAATCTGTATATCTCAACCTGAGGGGTTTATTGACAAAGATCATCCTAATGCTGTCTGCAAGTTGCACAAGTCTTTTTATGGTCTTAAGCAAGCACCAAGGGCTTGGTTTACCAAGATCAAACAGTTCTTATTTTCTTTGGATTTTAAATCCTCAGTTTCAGATTCTTCTCTCTTCTTTAAAAGAGACAAAGGTGAACTGCTTCTTGTCCTCATCTATGTAGATGATATTCTAATAACAGGTGACAATGCCATTGTTGTTAAGGGACTGATTAATACATTAGGTCACAAGTTTGCTCTAAAAACTTTGGGTGAGGTCAATCATTTTCTTGGTTTTGAAGCTCTCAGATCCTCAAATGGTCTAGTTCTTAATCAAGCCAAGTATGCTCTAGACCTATTGGCTAATGGTTCATTGCAAACCAGTTTCTACACCTATGTCCCCTTCTCACAAACTTCATCTTGTAGATAGTGCAGCCTTTTCAAATCCTTCTTTGTACAGAAGTGTTATTGGTGCACTTCAATATCTCACTATGACCCGGCCTGATATCTCTTTTGCTGTTAACAAGCTTAGCCAGTTTTTACATGCTTCAACTCAGCTTCATTGGATGGCCTACAAACATCTCTTGAGATATATCAAAGGAACTATTTCAGTGGGCCTTCTTTTTCAACCTGTTCATCGATTTTCTCTTGAATCCTACACAGATGCAGACTGAGCAAGCTGTGTTGATAACAGGAGGTCCACAGGGGATCATTTCATTTTTCTTGGTCCAAATCTTCTTGGCTGGAGTTCCAAAAAGCAGCAGGTAGTGTCTAGAAGCAATGTTGAGTCGGAGTACAAAAGTCTTGCAAATGCTACTTTTGAGCTTCTTTGGATGCGGTCTCTATTTCTTGAACTTGGTCTGTTTTTAGAGTCTCCTTCAATTTTATGGTGTGATAATGATAGTGCTGCTGCTTTGGCTTCAAATCCTGTGCTCCACGCTCGTACTAAGCATATTGAAATTGATGTGCATTTTGTTCGGGAAAAAGTGGTTGCCAAAGATATTGAAGTTCGATATGTTCCTTCAAATTTGCAAATTGCTGACTTGCTCACTAAGCCATTATCTCCTAGTCGTTTTCATGTGTTTTGTTCTCGGCTTCCTCTGCGTGCAAAAGATTCTCTCCGCTTGGCTTAGTTTCACGGGGGTGTATTATGATATATTCTATACAGTTGTAAAATCTGTTATACAACAGATAGGTTAGCTTTGTTAGTAAGCAAGTGAGTTAGTTAGGAAGTTAATCATGCATGTGATATGCACGTGCTTTGCATGTGTTGTGCATGTGGTTTGTATAAATACACAACTCATCATCATCAAGTGTTAATGAAAAGATTACAATTCATTTCCTCTTCCTTGTTCTCAACACAATCAAACTATTTACAATACAAATATAAACTAACAATAGAATACTACATCTCCTACATCTCACAAGCACACCGCTACATCCATTCGAGCCAGCACACCGGCCAAACCCCACAACAAACCAACCCACAATTGAGAAACTAAAAGAGAGCAGCAAATTAGAGGCCCGAGAACCAAAAACTGTGAACTTACTCAAACGCCTAACCAGATTTGGTGAGGAGACGAGTCTTAGCTCAGATCTAGGCTCCCGCAGCCTTCAATCAGGAGATAAACAAATGCCAGCAGAGCGAAAGCAACTAGGCAACTGATAGGACCAGACGAGAGGACCGCCAACACCACCCCCTCAACTGTGGCATCCGACCATCAACCCCCCGAGAGAAAGAAGAGAGCCAACTCCGCTGCTATCGGACCAAAAAGGCTGGTCGAGAATGCATGCACGGAATAGGTGACGACTTAAACGCTACGCCAACAACTCTATGGACGGAGCGGCTAATTGAGAGGCGACGACATCTCACCCCTCCTCGTCGGTGATGGCCTCACCGGCAACACAAAGCAGCAAGTTCACACCTAAATTTGCAATTATCTCTATCATTTAAGAAGGAATTGTTAGAAATTTTCAAATAACAAACCAAAAACTGGGGTAAAGTGCATAAACAAAAAAATTGCACACATGTATCTATTTTTTGGTGTGGGCTGGGCTCGGGCGGTGGTTGAGTGGTGGGGGATTGTTTCGGTTTCCTCAGGCTGGGAGTGGGTTGGTTACTTGGGCGCAGGGTCGAGCTCTTGGGTTCCAGTTAGGCATTATATATGTTACAGTTTCGGGATCTGAGATTTGGAGTGAAATCCGATCCGTTTGTGTGATCGGCCATGTGTATTGCTGTCGTAGTTCGTTTGCGTGTTTTTTCAGTTGTGGGAAGGGCTTTAGTCTATTATATTTAGGTTGTGTTAGTTTTTTTATTTTCTTTGTGTTGTTGGGAGACATCCGTTTCGGAAGCCTAAACTACCACAATGCACCCACGAAACTATCTAACTCCCAACATAAGTATACACAACCTCTCTTCCTACTAGATTCGAATTTTGACTGAGTTTTAGATGTAATTATGTGTTCTTTCTCATAAAACTCTATGGTTCGGACAAAAAAAAAAATTATCTATTTTTTAGCAAATCTGAGAAAGATTATATATATATAGACCGAGAGCTTTTGTGATGCCCTTTTTGCCTGCACACTGCAATTTCACTCCAGAATTTTACTGGAATTCCGTGCTAAGAAACCGCTATCACATGTTTTAGTTCTCCCTTTGACGGTAAACTCGCATTATCCATGTGACAGATTTTTTTCATCGACCCCACATATTTTCAAATGTGTAGAAGCTGCTCAAGTGAGTAACGACAGGGAGGGGCCTCTCAAGAAAATAATAGGACCCATTTCAATTCATTGACCTCTGCGTACGGCTTTGTTTCTTTTGATTTGCAGAGAATTTAGGGATGGAGGAGAGTAAGCGGATCAATCGGACTGCTCTTCAAAATTCCTAAAAATAGAAGTGAATAAAAAAAAAGGGATCATTGCTGTTTTTTGTTTTCTACGATAATGAAGGCCAAAGGGGCGGCGACGCCGGCGGTGGTTGTTCTGAACCCGACTCATGTGGTTTCTTTTGATCACAAGAGGTGATGACAGTTTTTACTTGTTTTTCAACATCTGCATTTGTCCCTCATTTCGATTGCCTTTGACTGGATTGGACTGAGATGTTTTTTTTTTTTTTTTTTTTCAATTCATTCATTGTTGGACGATTAACCTATGAAAGAGAGGATTATATGTGTTTACAATTATTCTTATCATTAGTATATTATTATTCGATAAATAAGAAAGAATAAAGAAGAAAAAAGAGAGAGAAAAGACTCTGTCTTCTTAGTTTTGTTCTGCTGACAGTTGAAAGATTCATGCTTGAAGCATTATCTATTGAGAGTTCATGGAAAAATGGGGTTTTTGAGAGTCATGGATTCTGATAAAGTTGATGTGTGTAAGGCTTTTTAGAATGATTAGTCTTCATAAGGTTCTTGAGTTTGCCAATTGTTTGACTATTTTTGCCTAGATCATTTGACCAATATTTATGAAATTGATTTAACCAATCCAAGAAGCTGTACTTATTTGGCTGGTTGTAAATTATAGCCAAAACGTAAATAAAGGTCACAATTGTCTTCCTCGTAATCAAACATTCAGCTTAGTTGGTAAATGTGACATTGTTTTCAGGCCCGGTGATGTGTTCCTATTATTCTATTTTTCTTTATTTTGTATTTTCTAGCAGAAGAATTGGAAGCATTATGGACAGGCATAACTCAAATACTAATTATTCTGACTTCTGTAGTCGATTTTTGAACTTTCTCGAACAGGGATGCTTATGGGTTTGCAGTAAGACCTCAACACTTGCAAAGATACCGGGAATATGCAAATATATACAAGGTTCTCATATTACACTCAATGTATACCAATTGCTGCTTCTTTCTGTTCTATGAGAATTGCTATAATTTTTTCATCCAATGCCGCTTTAGGAAGAAGAAGAGGAGAGATCTGACAGGTGGAAGAACTTTCTAGAAAGACAATGTGAATCTGCTCAATTGGCCGTGAATAGGTCAACTGACGACAATAACTTTGTAAAGTCAAATGTTGAATCAGCTATTGAAGATAGTTTGAGTGAAGATTGTAAAGTGGTGCAATCCATAACAGAATCCAAAGTTCATCAATTTCAGATATGGACTGAAATCAGACCGTCTTTACGGGCCATAGAGGATATGATGAATTCTCGTGTGAAGAAAAGAGTTACTATGTCAAGGAACGAAGACCGAAAGCAACTTTCTTCCATTGAAGAGGCCCGGCCTGGAAAAGGGGCGTCTGAAGAAGATTCCGAGGAAGAGTTTTTTGATTTGGAGAGATCAGAATCGGATCTCGTTCAAGAGATCCTCACAACCGATGGTATTATTCCTACTTTGTACACTCAATTAGAATCTACACCTCCATGGAAGCAAGAACTGGAATGTCTTGTTCAAGGCGGGGTACCAATGGCATTAAGGGGAGAGGTTAATAGCATGCTGTTATGCAATCTTTTGCTGATTTACTATGTAAAGATGTTGTATTTACTACTTTGGCTTCGGATTACAGCTGTGGCAAGCCTTTGTTGGTGTTAGAGCGCGCAGAGTGGAAAATTACTATCAAAATTTGCTTGCTCCGTATGCAGAAAAGAAAAATGCAGAATTGGAGGAGAAGAATTGCGAATCAAATGGGAAATCTGTTGGTGTACCTGAAAAATGGAAAACCCAGATTGAGAAGGTTATTGTTTTTCCTACTCAATGAAGTCACTTGGGTTGTGCCTGTATTGAGAGACTTGAAAGTTGAACGATTTAAAATCCATGGATTTTTGCTATCTTGGATTTTGAATTCCAATTGACTTTTTTCTTTGTTCTTTATTTTTCTTAGTTTGTATGGATGGTGGTGTAACGTAGATTGTGAAAGATGTCAAGTCAATTACAAGTTTTAATCTTTTTCATCAGTTGTTATCTAATCAATAATAAAGAACTATGAATTTACATGGATTTTATAATTCTTTGGTGTCGGTCATCTGTCGTGTGTAAACAATGTGGTGCTTCTATGCATGTGTGTGTGCCTGTGTTTGCAAAACATGTAAATGTATGTATGAAATTGTAAATGTAAGTACTAGGATGGGATTTTAAATGATAGGTTATGCGATGGATTTTAAATTCACAAAAGTTGAAATAACATTGAGGAGGATATTTGAAATCCATTAATTTGAGTTTTTAGCCTAACACGCTTGGATGTCCCAATGGATTTCAAATCATTCCATCTATATCCCTCCCAAAATTCTCAAGCTGAATGTAGCCTGTTTACAACTTTATTGTACTTCTATATATCACTGCCATTAGATATTTAACCTTTTCACTTTTGGTAACACAGGATTTACCTCGAACTTTTCCTGGTCATCCTGCTCTAGATGAGGATGGTAGAAATGCTTTAAGACGGATACTTACTGCCTATGCTCGGCATAATCCGTCTGTCGGGTATTGCCAGGTACTTCTACCCACATAATACAATGATGCTGTATTGAATACTGTGTGGAAATATGACTGTTCATCTAATTGTCTGTTGATTTTTTATTTTTCAGCAAGAGTTGATTTTTTAGTGAAAATACTTTCTTAATCTTCTCAAAAACAGTATGTTGATGATTGAGGATGCTCGGATAAACATTCTTTATTTCAATTTATTTTTTTTGTTTCACATTTGTTTGTGTTAGATATAAATCTTTGATAAGTTCCTGGATCATTCATGCAGGCAATGAACTTCTTTGCAGGGTTGTTATTGCTACTGATGCCAGAGGAAAATGCATTTTGGTCGGTTAATTTTTTGTTCAGTAGTAGCCATTTGTCTTTTCTTTTTGTTTTTGGTCTTTTTCTAAATTAGTGGTTTTGTGGATCCAGTCTTAAATTTCTGAGTAAGGTGTTGTCAATGGCAAGAATGGTAAAAAGAAAACGATGGAATTGTTTGCTTGTTTGATGGGTCCTTGAAGTCATTAGACTTTTAACAGAATCTAACGAATTTGTTGACTTACAGGACTCTAGTGGGTATTCTAGATGACTATTTTGATGGCTATTATTCAGAAGAAATGTTAGAGTCTCAGGTAAACTTGGATTTCATTTGGAGCTGTTATTTTACATCTGCCCTCTTATTTCATACAAAGACATGGGATAGTGTCTTTGAGCGCCACATGGCTCTCCAATTTTTTGTGTGTCTTTCTGATATAGAAGAAGTTGTTCAAAAGGGTTGTGCTGTACTCAACTGGAATTTGTATTGAGCAACTCTATCTTGGCAGGTTGATCAGCTTGTTCTTGAGGAGTTGGTGCGCGAAAGATTTCCGAAACTGGGTTAGTTTCTTAAGATATAATTCTGTTATAAATCCTTTCCTGAAGAGATGTCTTATTATTAGTTATTATTTCATCTGCTTACTTAGCTTGTTTGTGTCGCAGTAAATCATCTTGATTATCTAGGAGTGCAGGTGGCATGGGTGACTGGGCCATGGTTTCTCACAATATTTATGAATATGCTTCCATGGGAAAGTGGTCAGTTTTTTTACATCAAGTGTAGCAATACATTTAGTGAAATATCATTACAATTTTAAAGTTGGAATATCATTAAGATTTTGACATTTGTTATTGTAAGTGTAATTTATCTTCACTTGTTCATCTCATTTATGCACTTTGTAAACCTATGGTTCGTCCTTCACATTGGAGCTAGTTACAAATAATCTTCTTCTGGCTCATTTAACACAAACCACGATGAGTATTTTTTATGCCTTAAGCTGATAAATTATGCTTTGGAGGATAATTAGATTTTCTTTTTGGTATTTGTGCTACTGTAATTTGTCGTTTTTGTTGGTAACCCCATAAATCCAACAAGCTTAATATGGCCTTTTTCAGTTCTTAGAGTCTGGGATGTGCTTCTCTTTCAAGGGAATCGTGTAATGTTATTTCAGACGGCACTTGCTTTGATGGAGTTATATGGTACTTGCTTCAGCCATATGCTTTTTTTTTTTTTTTCTGATGAAATCTTTCAATCGAAATTCAAAATACTTCTCGCACCATAAGAGGCTTATCTTAGCTCTGCTTTTGTGTAGGACCTGCATTGGTTACGACCAAGGATGCTGGTGATGCAGTCACGCTGCTTCAGTCCTTAGCTGGCTCGACTTTCGATAGCAGTCAACTTGTATTGACAGCGTGTATGGCTTTCCCGAATGTTCAAGAAGCGCGACTTCAAGAATTAAGAGATAAACACCGACCAGCTGTCATGGCTTCATTGGAGGAAAGAGAAAAGGGAGTAAGAGTGGGGAAGAAGGATTCACAGGGCCTGGCTTCTAAATTGTATACTTTCAAGAAGGACCCAGGTTCACTAATGATGGGGACTGATAAATCGGGTTTGGAACCTTCGTCTGCTAATGGTGATCAGCTATGTATGAGCTTGAATGGTAATTTGGAGATTGATTCTCCTAGAGATCTTGAAGAGCAGGTATTGTGTTTGTGCGTGAGTTTCAACCCTAAATATGCACTTAGACAATTGATCACCACGCATGTACATTTTTCACAAGCAAATCTTTATGTACATTATTGACTATATATTTCTTTTTAAATTTCATTGATGGAACACTAAATACATAGAAATACCTTAAGCAGATACATCTGTGGTCTAGAATAACTGATATGTACTTATGAGGACTATTTCAATAGCATTTTATGGTCCGTAGTTTTCTAATCTTGAATTTGGCACATTGCACGTGTGCTTGCACTTTCTCTATCTAAAGGACTGAGTTGAGAATATGCCATGTTCTGTTTCACAAGTAAAAATAGCTTCAAAAGGCTCTTAAATTTGAAATATTAAGAACTTGAATTGCGATCCAGCCTAAGTTGCTAGATATCTTCAATTTTTTATTTGTTAACCCAAGCAAAGCTATATCTGCTTACAACTAACTTTATTAGCCATTGTTTGTCTTCAGGTAGTTTGGCTTAAGGTCGAGTTGTGCAAGCTCCTGGAGGACAAAAGATCTGCTGAGCTTAGGTAAACACATTTGTGGTTTGATTGTGTTTAAATCACTAGCTGAAGTTACAATTTTCAGTGAATGAAAGTCTTAGTAACTTTCTGTTAGGATATTAAATGTTCCCTTCTACATTGAATGTTCAAATTGGTTTCAAACTTTCAAGTTATCTTGAAGTTTATTTGTGTTGTCAAGCAAAACAACAGATTCTCTAACTATGTTTTCCTAAAGAGATAAAATCTTAAGATCTTATTTTTGCGGTGTTTGATTTTTCTTCATAGTAATGCTTTAAATGCTTCATGTCCTTTGCATCTCAAGTGTAGAACTGGATTTAAGAACCAACTCTTACCCAAAATTTTGTTCCAAGTTATAAACTCTAGTTGATGTCAACTCCCCAAATCCCCTTTTGCCTCATTTTTTCTCATACTTGAATTTTGTAACATCCTATTCGATGTTGATTGATGTGGCCTGTTAAGTAACATAAAGATTTAACAAGATTAATATGTGAAACAGAGTTTTACTACAAAAATCTTTTTGGAGTTAAACGAAGCGAAAAAATTCCAATTTAACTGTACTGGTTTCTGTCAATAATGTTCTCACACGGTCGACAGTTTGAAAATATTTTCCTTTCAGAATGTAGTCTTCTAGTCTGTATACTGTACATAAAACTGATGCGTAGTTACTTTCTTGTATTTCTCTTTATAGGGCAGAAGAGCTTGAAACAGCATTAATGGAGATGGTTAAACAAGACAATCGACGACAATTGCATGCAAGGGTATCCTAAAATTTTAGTTACTTGGCTGTTTTGATTAAAACTTTCTTAGTGTTGTGGTTGTCTAATGAGTACACCAAAAAGTGAGTGGTCTTGCATTCCAACAAATAATCAGCTCTGTCTTAGTAATTTACGAGATTTTGTTTGAAATATGAATACTCTCCTCAGCTTAGTGACCTCAGTTTTCTGTTTATATTCTCAACAGTTTGATTATATTTGAAAATTTTCATCATATGATTTACCAACCTGATGCTAAAGGGTGCGATTGGGTATGCTTTCGTTGAAAACTTTTTCTTTCATTAAATAAAGAAAAAAAAGGGTTTAAAAAATAAGAATTTGGGAAGTGTGATTGGATGTCAGATGGAAATGTAATTATTAAAGTTGATGTAATGTAAATATAATAAATAGCAAGTTTTGGTTAGAGCCTCTCCAACCCGTCGCTACTTCAGCGTATTTGCGCTAAATTAGCGCAAAATCTCCCTCCAACCCTGCGCCAGATTCTTGCTGTAGAATAGATAAATGAATAGTGTTGCGCCACTTCTGGTGCAACACTGTAGCTAACGCTACAATTTTTTTTTCTTTTTTTTTTTTGTTTAATGTGTTTTAATATAATATCGATGATAATTTTTGTATAATTTGTATTAGTATATGTATTCTTTATGCTAAATAACTTTGTGCAATGCATTTTTATGTTAAATAACTTTGTGTTTTTTATTTATTGATGTATTATAATTTCATTTTGTAATTTTTTAATATTAAAATGACACCATATGAATAAAAATTTAACACAATAAAACAAGTACATTTCATTAAAATCATAAGTTTACAACACACATTTTGTATAATGTGTAATAAATAATTTTTATGTTAAATGTAAATGTATTAATAAAAAAATGAATAAAAATAATAATATATTTGATGTAGAGTAAAATGTAGAGATAAGGGTTGGAGACGAATGTTTCACTCTACTCTAGAGTAGAGTAAAGTCTGCGCTAGAGTAGAGATAAGGGCTGGAGATAGCCTTAGAAGAAATATGTGAGTGGATGAATAGTAAATTTTATAGGGAAATGTGTAGTAATATTTGAGTTTTAGTTTAAGAATTGTATTGATGAGTGGATAGTGTATTTTGTTAAAAATAAAAAATACAAATCATTAGTAAAATGAATGTGAAAAATGTTTGATATACTACTTTGGCAATCTAAGCAATCTGTTTTTGTGGGCGTAGGTGGAGCAATTGGAGCAACAGGTTAGTGAGCTTAAGCAAGCCCTTGCTGATAAGCAGGAGCAAGAGAGTGCCATGCTTCAGGTCAAGCCGTTGCTATTGGTTTTTATCACATTGTCATATAGATGTCTTTATGTCTTTTTTGTCGGTAAATACAAATACAACCCAGAGGTCATCAATTGGCTATTTGTAAAATAGAAACATGCGACCGAGAGGATGTTTGCATTTTCAAAAAATAACTGCAACTTTTTTTTGTTGTATTTGGACCAGATTACAAATGTTGCGCGTACTTTACAGTTAATTAAAATGTTATTTTTGTTACTAATTAGTTTTTTTCCTGCTGTGGGTGTGTTTTTGATACAGATTTTAATGAGGGTAGAACAAGAACAGAAAGTGACTGAAGATGCTCGCATATTTGCCGAGCAAGATGCTGCTGCCCAGAGATGTGCTGCTCAAGTGCTTCAGGTGTCTCTCTCTCTCTCTTTCTCTCAATATTTTAAAGAGACCTTTCCTTAACTAAGAAAGGAAAAATTCAGTACGAAAGGAGACATTTGGTGTAAAGTCGCTCTACTCTGGAGGAATTAGAAGTTTCAGAATTATTATCATATGCAGGAAAAGTACGAAGAAGCATGTGCCACTGTGGCTGAGATGGAAAAGAGAGCAGTTATGGCCGAATCCATGCTGGAAGCCACCTTGCAGTACCAGTTGGGACAAACTAAAGCTCAGCCTTCTCCTCGGTAAAATTGCAACCTTTTTATAATTAATATTGAATACAACAACAACAACAACAACAACATAGCCTTTAGTCCCAAGCAAGTCGGGGTAGGCTAGAGATGAAACTCAAGAGAAACACAAAGACTCGAACCGAAAGGAAGAGATCGAAAAAAAAAAAACGAGAGAGAGAGAAAGGAGCAAAAGTCACGGTTCTGGCACGTTGATAGCGAGCCTCCAAGCGCTCCTATCCACCGCTAAATCCTTGGAGATATTCCAATCTTTAAGGTCTCTCTTAACCGACTCTTCCCAAGTGAGTTTAGGCCGACCTCTACCTCTCTTAACATCCTCGACCCGCTGTAGAATTCCCCTACGCACCGGTGCATCAGGAGGCCTCCGTTGGACATGTCCGAACCACCTCAGCCAGCCGATGTTGAACCAATTTCTCCTCAATTGGAGCCACCCCGACCCTATCTCGAATATCCTCCTTCCGGATTCTATCCTTCTTGTGTGCTCGCAGAACCAACGCAACATACGCATCTCTGCTACACTTAGTTGTTGGACATGTTGCCTTTTTGAATAATTTATATTGAATAATTTAGCCAAAATCTGAATGGTAGTTTTGTTTTTCTTACAAAAAAAAGAAAAAAGAAAAAAAAGGAGTACAAATACGCCATTTTTCTTGATGTATAATTCTGTATGTACTGCACCTTATTTCTTTATCCTATTGAAAACGAGGCATCCTCGGGCATTTATGGTTAATGTTTTGCAGGTCTACCCACCAAAGTAATCAGGAAGACCCTTCACTAGAAATCCCGACAAGAAAGATTAGTTTACTCTCGAGACCATTTGGATTAGGGTGGCGTGACAGGAACAAGGTTAGTTAATGGAGTGTTTTGAACCAACAATTACAAAAGATCCAATTATGTTGTCAATTCCCAATTCCTACCCCCTTCAACAAGGTGAAACCGTGTAAATTTGTCAAGTATGGGACTTTTTTTAATAATGCGATTGCGTGTTATAATTAGGTAAAATTTATCCTTATTTTTTTTTTTTTCAAGTTGAGCGCTCGACTTTTTTTTTAATGAACTAATATGGCATAGGGAGCGTTTTTGCCATGCCGTCATGACCTAAATTTGACTCTCCTTCATTTAATCGTAATTGAGAAGCAATTTATTCTTTGACTAAACCAATTTTTGGTTTCGTTTTTGCAAGTCACTTTTTTACTCCCCGTAAGACTTCAAATTTATTTCTTTATATTTTTGGATATATGTAATGCAGCAGTGACTGTCTAATGTTTGATGCTATATAGGGGAAGCCCGAGGAGTCGAATGATGGAAAACAGCCAAAGGATGGAGGAAGTTTAAGCTTGAAGCAAGAAGAGGCCAATGGCCATCAGGTGGAGTAGAAGATATTAATTATAAGGGGAAAAGAACTCAAGTTTTTGGTTTCTTTTGTGAATCATCTTTAAGGCATCATACTTATGGAGCTATTAAGAGAATAGAATTTACTATGGGGGTTTGTTTTATTTATTCATTAACAATAATTTCTCAGCGAGTAGAGAGCCAAAGGAACCTTTGGTTATAGGCTTAGCCAAATTCATACCTTGTTATATAGTTCTTGCACTACATCTTCCCTGCCAATATATGATAGTTGTTGAATACATATTACTGACATATAATATTGTGCAGGAAAATTGTTGTCTTAGAAATCATTTGTCATCATGTATTTCTCTAGCGACATGACATGTTTGCTACCACGACATTCAGAACATAAATTAACATGACCAAAAAGCATTGTAAGAA